CTTGCTTAAGTTGTGTATGGAACGGGTTACAGTTTATTAGATCTCGGTTCATGGCTAAATAAAATATTTAATGAGAAAATCATTCGCTCAGCACGTGCTTCTTTAAAGCAGTCAGTTGTCAAAGTCCGGAAAGTCCCTGATCGATGGCAGATTACTTCCATTTCTAACTGGAACCAAACGCTGCCCACACATCTTGTGCTGAAGGTGAGGTCTGCATGTTGCCGTTGGAGACGGCTATCTTATCAACCCATTCGCAAAATTTTTACGAAAATTAGGAATTCATATTTTTCTATGATGTTTTCCGCGGCGTTGCCTGCTAGAACGCTCATGACTTTATTTTTCCTGGAGGTACACGAAGATGACCACATGCAACCATTTTCTATGAGACAATCCCGGAAAAATCATTCAAACAATCGTTTCCAACATGACAGCTCTTAAATCGTCGAAATTGGAATCTTTGTGAACTGGATTCCCTTTTAACGATCGTGTGATTGGCACTAATCACCAACCTTTGAAAAAACAAGTTACATAGAGGTAGGGTTAAATGGTTTTAAATAACATTGGTTTGATGATCTCATTGGTATACTTGTCAAAAAGTGTTAGAAATCCGTTTATTCTGGAGTCCTGCTCCAGTGCAGTATTTCCGTGAAAGCAAGCGTGACAAGCTGAGAGAGCCCTGGGAACTAAGTAATAGAAAGTATAAAATATATGTACTTCCTTTCCTCGAAAACTACGTTCAATCACCAACCTTCGAGAACCTTCTAACATTACGCATTCCTCTTTACTTGAGATTCCGCCCCTCAGGTAAAGGTGACTTATATTTATGGTAAAATGTATTTGAACTTGCGTTTTAGTTTCGGATCATACAAGATCATGATCATTAAATTGTGGGTAACCTCTGATAGATCGTATTTTCCCTCATCAGATTGGCCGAGATGTCGGAGAGCGATCGTCTAATAACTGAGGCAAGGGAAATTCAACATACTCGAATAGCAGTAGAAGATGTTGGTAGAGCTGTCAGAGTTCGAAATACGATATACGCTTACTCAAACCACTTCATTACGCAGAGCCGACCGTACTTTCGACGACAATTACCAACTTACATCGACTGCGTATGTTTTCTGTGGTTAACTTGGGCGATGTTTTGGGCGTCTTGGCTGGGTGCCTTGGCTGACAAAGGAGGTTATTAAAAAGGCGCTCCATTTTATTGTTTCTTTGTCTGTGCAGTTTTCATTGGAATTTTCTGCCAGCACGAGATTGTCAACAGAAAATCGCTTCGGATTGTCCTAACACAGCCTGTTCTCGACGGGCAACGAAAGTTAAACGCGCTCTACGAAGTGACAATCACAGAGCTGCAAGGAATGGCTCTACAGAATTACCAGGCTGGCATTGGGTTCTTTCATGCGTCGGAAGGAAAAGTAAAATTCCAAGCCTTTAATCGGAAAGCTGAACAGGCAATGATCTGTGCAAGGAAGACATCACGATGCATGCTATTCCTTTTCTTTTGCTCAGCTTGTTTTAATTTCTATTTTATGATGACTTCCTCGCTGGGTCTCACGTTTTCATAAGGAGAGTGATCAGAATAGGGGAATGGTAGTACTTTTAAAATGATATTTTGGTATACCAATCATTTTTTTATCCTTGACATTGTAACTTTTGAATGATGTCAGAGAGGTAATTACGTGTGAAGGTGTAGTCTGATCGTCCGAGTGAGTGTAGTCCTGAGAAGGACTGTTGTCGGTAGTAGTGACTGACGTTTCGACAACCTGTGCGGAAGTCATCATCAGAGTCAAGTGAATGATTGT